CAACCCAGCTGCACTTGATTTCGCCACAAGTTTTGTGCAAGCACAAGAGATCATACCTTTGAACTCCCGTGAAACCGACCAATCATCATCGTCATCATCATCATCCATCAGTCATCCATCAGTCATCCAGAGGCCACGGGGAGGGCAGTGTGTGACCATGCACGACCACTCTTTGTTTGAATCGTATGTGCTCGACCACTTTTCAACTGATCGTCACAATAAAGTAGTACAAACCACATCGACCAAAATATTTTGGGATTTTGAAGGTCTAGGATTGAACAAATCGGTGCATTCTGCCATTGGGAAAGTGCTATTGGTTACATGTTTGTAATCCTTTCCATGAACCAATTCTTGACATTTCTTCACTAGACCCATTGCATGATTCTTCTAAAAGAGTATTCTTTTATTCGCTTCTACCTGCCACTAACTGATCTTCACACAGCAGAAAAGATATGTGGCAAGACAGGACAAGGCTTCCATGATTGAATTCCTAATGAATGTCTTGGAGGCAAAGTTTTCTCGCAACTGATCTATGCAATGGAAGGACTTTTGTATCTCGGAAGTGCATTGCAATTGACTTGGACTGGCGGGTATAGAGGAGGTTACCACTGGCATGATCAAGAAGCCGTCGATGGCAATCAGTGGAAAACACGTGGAGAGGTTCTTCGGCAAGATTGCCAGGTTGAGGCTGAAGTGTGCAAAGAAACGCATCTCAAGGACAGGCAGTGAGTTCCCTGAGAATCGAGTTTGTTCAGGTGCCCAAGAGGAACTCTGTGCACGTTGGCCTTGAGTTGGATGGCAAGCGGCTGAGCCAAAAACTGAAGTCACATGACCAAGATGAAGTCTACACTTTGCCCTTGACCGCGCGCTAAATGGGACTTAATGTCACTTTGTTCTGGAGAAAATATATCTTGCAGGATCGGTGTGGAGGCATGGCGACGTAGAGCTCTGCAAGGACAGGCAGTCGATTGTCTCCCTGAGCATTTGTTCATGTGACTAAGAGCAACTCTGTGAAGTTTGACCTTGATTTGAGATCTCCCTAAGCAAACCCATGTTGTGCATGTTATAGGAGAGTTGTGAACAGTTGTTGCATGATGTTGGATGCATTCTTGCAGGATCTATGTGGCATCAGTGTGGTGATGTGGAGCTCGCTTGGACAAAAGAGTGCGAGCTCCGACAAACCAAGGGTACTCGAAAAACTTGATCGTTTGGGCATGTATGCGTTTAACTTGCACTTTGGACTTGCAGGGAGCTAAACATATTAATTATTATACATTTACATACAGTATGTGCATTGGTGAGACCCAACAAACACATGTTTCGCCTGGCGCTGGCGACGGGAACTGATCAATCATCCTTTCAATCCAGGGCGCCATCGCCAGCGCCAGCAGCATGAGCTGGGAGACTCGGCTCCGCCGTGCATGGCTGCGCGCCATAGCACCTGGTGGTCCATCTGGTGAAACATTGGTGGCTTGCTGGGCCATGCAAGTACACGGATATTTTTGAGGTATGAGAGACAGCACCGCCAAATGTTGAAACTCCTCCTTGCCAACGAGTGTCCGAAAATCCAACAAGTTCACTACTATGCCAGAATGGTTTTCTGGCGGCGGTCAGGGGGAATGGTATGGATGGTGGGGGTAAAAACCGTGACGTCGATATGGATATGAACAAAACAGGAACGCTGCATGTATGATCATGCTTCACATCTGGATGGCAAGATTTGTCTTGTATAGAGAGAAGGGGATCATCGACAAATGGGTCAACGTATTGTCGAAGGATAGTGTAGTTCAATTTGAAACAAAGTGACCGCAGTGCAAAGTGAAATTCACTGATATTTGCGAGGAGACACGGTGTAGCACACCGTGTGCAAACCTTCGTTTTCCTTTTTCCTCCAGGTGGTGCAGGATGTCTCCCCTCAGTATGACCCTACAATCCATCGCCATAAACTCACACCTAGAACAGGGCTATTGGTTCATCACCAGGACATCACCGGAAAACCTCGCCAAATCTGAAATCTGTGCAAAGTCATCTCAAGATATTGATTAATATGTATGTATAATTATGTATATATAAATAGAACCTAAACACAAGAATATATAGTCATCCTGAAGTCGATAGAATAATTTTGGGGACCTCCACAGGAAAGTCGTCATATTCTATCGACTCTAGGATTGATACTTATCAGTATTTATCTGATCTATCTATCTACATACCTATACCGTATACATATCTACCTATATCTACCTGCCTGCCTACCTGCCTGCCTAGCTATCTATCTTTTGGGCCCTTCCAGCCTATAGGAACCTCCTCAGCCCTCCTCGCTCGCTGAAACGCGCCCTCCTCGCTCACTCGCCTTCCTCGTCGGCACTGTGCCGTGGAGCGAGAGAGACCGCCGCTGGGTCCAGCACAGCTCCGCGGAGCGGCGGGGATCCGTCTGATCCGTCAAACAGGTGTCAGGGCTTGAGGAAGCTTGTTTGAACAAATCGAAGCGCAAACCCAAAGGCCTGGACCACTTGGAAGATGAATCTTGGGCATAAGCCAGGTGAAATGATCAAAAGCAGCCTGGCCAGTTTGGAAGAAATCTCAAATCTGTGGGAGCCTTGGAATCCGGCAACGTTCTTGTATACAGTATACACCCTTCCTATCTCCTCCTGTGTCCAAAATAAACGGCCTTGAAACCTCTTGAAACCAAACAGTAAGACTGTCTTAAGATAAGACATGCAGCGGCTTATTGGAAGGAGAGTGTCCATCAGTTGTCTGCCTCACTGGCAGTCCATGGTGAAGGTTGGTACGAACCAAAAGAGCGGTCATCTTTCTCTTTGATCGAGGGGTGTGACCTATAATAAGCAGTATGCTGGTTTCACTGGTGAAACAAGTTTTGATCTGCGCCTTTCTTCAACATCGCCAATCCCACAAGCGTCTGAATGTGTACACGAGAAGGCGATGGAGGATGGGGAGGACACTCCCAATTTGACAAGACCCTGAGAATCCTTGCTACGGTTATGATCTGTGATGAGACTCTATTCAGTGTCCATCTCTGTCATGTGGCTAAACTTGCTTGCCAAACTGTGCAGCTAAGGCCCAACCAGGTTCTTCCCACAAAAAGTGGGTTCAATTTCAAGTCAACGTGTGCCAAGCGTATCTAAGGGAGTTTTCATCGGTAATTGCTGTGAGTGGCCCAAAATACGTAAGAGTAAAAACTGACCAGAAAAGCCCATTCTGTCAGTTCCAGTCATCCATCGTGCGATCATCACGGTGGAAAATCTGAGGCAGTTTCACCTGGTACTCTTTCGGCTGCAAAGTTGTGACCCCAAAGACCACCAAGCGCTACGGACATTGGTGGCCAAAAGCTGCGCGTGAAAACCTAAAGCCTGTAGCCTTGGATGCGGAAGCGCATCCAGCATGGTGTGGTTTGGTGATTTGGTGCCAAAGACATGTCCCATTTAAGATAATTTTAACAAGGCCTATCGCCTATCAGGAGCCAAAAGCAATGTCACAAGCCACATGTTCGTGTTGACCTCAAAAGGTTTCTCAGGATCTCATGACTGAAACAAACATAAGTTCACTAGGGCAGCAGGTCTTGGGCACTGTAAGCTTGACAGGGGAACATTGGCTGATCAAAACTAAGACTCCTCGCTGGCTTGACACTTGGATACACTTGGTAATACTTGAAAAACATATGTAAACAGAAGCCTCCTTAATTATTAGTAGATGTATATACCCCAGACATTTACCTCCTTCATGTCGCCTCTATTATCGGTGAAATTCTCCTTGAAAGCATTCCTTGGGCCGGGATTCCCAAAACAACGGCTGGGCCCGACCTGCAGAAAACCCTTGCCGCATGGCGAGACGAATTCGGTGAAACGTGGCGGTTTCATCACATTGAAGGAAATTCGAGGATGGTCAACAACTGCCTGGACGGAGTGATGGAGAAAGAAAACACCCCTGGCCCAAAGGCAAGAGCGACAAAGGCTGCAAGGTTGAGAACCAAAAGGACGCAACTTCATGCTTCATTTTGGGGGGCAGTGGTTCAAGCCTATTGGCAACGAGTCTTGGTCCCTGGGCCCAATGGAGCCAACCATGGCCCTTGCTCGCCCGTAGACGACGCAAACCTCAAAAAGCTTCGCGGCGTGTTTCGATCTGAACACTGAGCATACCCTGAGTCCGGATTTGGAAAACAATTTACAGTAGCATTTGCGAAGGTTGATCCTTCGTTGTTTCTTTCTGGCAAGTAATTTTTGAACCAAAATCCAGTCGGAGCAGTTCCTGCCTTCGGACCAGTTAACCCGTGCGGGCGGTCAACGTCAAAGGGTTCTAAATTAATGGAACTCTATGACACGCTCATGTAGACATTCTTGGAGACCTGCAGGTAACAGCAACTGTCAAAACTGAATTAGAATTCATCCAAAAAACCAGTAAGTCCAGTCAGGGAATCCCCTCCCTCCGCAGGTTGATCAAAACAACCTGAAACCTTGCTGTTCCTAGTAGCTTCTCAGTTACTCTAGTAGTATGGCCTCAAACCTGCTAGGAGCGTCCTCTAGCTCCTAGTAGCCTGGCCGTCATAGCTTTGGATCCCTTGGGTCGAACGAGCACCCTCCGATTTCGACATATTTCGACGGTCTTGCAGAGGCGTCGGGGGATCGGTACCTCCAAAAAGAAGTCCTGTCTCAAATCCCAAGCCCAAAGCAAAAATCAAAAACAATATCTGGCAGAAGTTATGTTATACTGTATAAGTCTTGAAGATCAGAAGAATCTTTCGGCCAAGCGCCCCGCAAGTGCTGGCGGCCTTTTCTTTCTCCGCCGCGAGCGCACAAGAGCTTGGTGCCGGGACCATGAACGCCGCTCTAGGCCAGGGAACAGCAGGTGTGATTTGCGGACTCTTGGTGTCGATTTGAACAAACTTGCCTGCAAACGGACTCAACTGCTTTTGGAACCATCGAGCGAAGTGAACAATAAGGACTATTGTATAGACCACTTGGACTGATGATGTGATATGTCATATCAACGATTTGCGTCACTTCCTGCAACCAACCGCTGGAACATGATGGCCTGCTACGATGTGTCCAAACCACATCCACAGGCTGACATTGCTTTCCTTTCATACTGCGGCCTGTAGCGAACAACTATATAGGCATGATGTTCCAATTTTTGAGCGGACAACAGGTTTCAACTCTTGCGTTGCGCTGCTCCCTGTGCAGCTCCTGCTGCTGCCTGTGCTCCTTGCGCAAGGCGTTGCTTGGCGTCAGGAAGAGGCGGTGGGCTGTAGCAAAATAGGTGGCACATGCAGCAGCACAGGACTATGTTCACGATTCCGACAAAGTATGCAGCCGAACCCCCATGGAAGAGGACAAAGACTATGCCTTGGATCACACTGTGAAAGGCAAACGGAGGGAGTCATGACTCATGATGTACTTCTCCTGTGCACCCAGGTCTCAGAGGCTTGGGAGAATTGGTCGTCGCAAATATATTGGAGTTGCTCACCACATTGTAGACGACCCAAGTCTGTCTCCCCAACGTGTCCACTCCCAGAAGTTGGTCCCTGTATTTTGAGACAGACCCAGTCTGAGTTATATGTCTATCTATCTATCTATCTATCTATCTATCCATCCATCCATCCATCCATCCATCCATCCATCCATCCATCCATC